GGTTTGAACTGACTCAACAGCACTTAACAACAAAAGCCAGTGTTGGTAAGTTTGTATTGTATTCTCCTGAGTACTTCTGTTCCAGGAAATGACTTTTAGGAGTCCCTGAGAGGGGTGCAGGAGTTAAGCACTGAACTACTAACTGAAAGGTTAACAGATCAAACCCATCCAGTGGCACCTTGGAAGCCAGTGGGCCTGGTGTTTTGTTTTTGAAAAGTCACAACCTTGAAACCTCATGAAGTTCATCAGATCTACTCTGCATACAACAAACAACAAGGACTTAATAATTGTGTGCTTTGGTTCTCAGAGCTGTGGCCATTGTTATTAAATCCTAGATTTTCGGAGCTCATGGGACCTTTGGAAGTAGAATGTCAAGTATTCAGATTTTGGAGCTCTAGGTTTCTATAGAGCCCTGGAAAGATAAACACTGGACTGGTAACAGCAAGGTTGGCAGTTCAAACATACCAGCCGCTCTGGTAGCGTAGTGGTTACGAATTGGGCTGTGAACCTTAAGGTCAGCAGTTCAAAACTACCAGCTGCTCTGCGGGAGAAAGGTGAGGCGTTCTGTTCCTGTAAAGATTTACAGCCTCGGAAACCCTGTACAGGGTTGCTATGAGTCGGAACCGACTCCATGGCACATAACAACTACAACAACAACTCAGATACCCTATAAAGGGTCTCCATGAGTTGAAACCAACATAAGGCACACAAGGGCCCAATGGAGTAAGCTGACTGGTCTAGAGCCTGCATTTACTAGCAGAGTTGGCACGAGCATCCAGGCCCTGGGTCTTTCCAGTGTGAGTGTGCCCTCTGTCCTACAGCCTATTAGCTTCCAGTGTCTCCGATGGTGTTTTATCCGTAGCAGGAGCCATGGGGACCGGTCTCCAGTACAGTTTTGCTGACAAAGGTCTTTCTGGCCCGCTCTGTTAAACTCCTCTTTGCTCCAGCCAACCTAAAATCTAGCTTTGATTGAAAACAGAGGAGAGATCATATTGATCCCAAATGTATCTCTTGGCCTTCAACAGTGAGAACTGCACCCTAATCTTTCAGATCAGTATTTAAAGCTTTTTTTCACCCAGCTCTTTTTCTTTTTTTTACCCAAGTTAACATGTGTTTACCCTCTAGCCAGTGCATTACACCACCCCCTTTCTCTCCCACCCCTGGTAACATAAAGAAATTGTTCTTTTGTGAAAACCTTTTCTTGACTTTTTACAATAGTTATTGTTAAGTGCCATCGAGTTGGTTTCGACCCATAGTGACCCTGTATAGGGTTTCCAAGGAGCAGCTAGTGGTATCATACAAATCAGTCCCTTGGGGAGTCCTGGTGTGGCACTGTAGGATAAGCACTGAACTGCAAGGTCTGTGATTCAAACTCACCAGCCACTCCTCAGAAACCTTATTCAGGGTTTGAGTCAGAACTGACTCTGCGACACTCAACGACTGTAATTCCACTTCCCTTAATGTCCTCCAGTTCATTCATGTTATGAGATGTTTAGTTCTTTAAAGACCATAAACACCAGAACTATTTTTCACCTGCACATTTAACATCAAATTGTTGAAGCTCAGGTGGTGCAAATGTTCAAGTAAAGCTCAACTTTTAACTAAAAGATGGTGGTGGTGGGTGGTGGCTGTGTGCCGTGGAGTCAGTTCTGACTCACAGCGACCCTGTACAGGGTTTCTGAGGCTGTAAAATCTTTACGGGAGCAGAAAGTTTCATCTTTCTCCCATGGGAACAGCTGGTAGTTTTGAACTGCTGACCTTGAGGTTCGCAGCCCAATTCGTAACCACTACGCAATAGGCAGTTCAAATTCACCAGAACACTTCTTGAGAACCACACCGACAGTTCTACTCTGCACCCACCTGGTGGCGAACAGTCGGAATTGACTCACGGGCCCCGGAACAACAGTTCTGTAGGGAGGCAGTCCGAGCTCTGCTGTTCCTATTGTCCAACCCCAGTGGTTTTTAAAGATTCAAGTCTTCTCTTAAAAATGAAAAACCAGCCTTTAAAACTGGAAGACTCTGCCTTTATATCATTGTTCCAACACCAGGCTTGAGGCTTCCAGCCTCCCGCCCCTTGTTCGTGTCTCTCTGCTGCTGTGCAGACCCAGCAGAGCAGCTCTGACTCACTTTGCAATGAAGGTGCCTGCTACATAGAGCCCCTTCTAGAAGGAGGGGCGGTGATGGCTGTCCCCCACCACTTCCAATCAGATGGTGCTTCTCCGTGAGGCCTCCCTAGTATCTCAGTGAAAAGTGCAATCCTCAACCCATCCTTCCTTATTCCTTTCCCTCACTGTGTTTTCCTTAAATAACATTTTAAAAAGTTCTCCACTCAGGTGTTCCTTTTGAGAGTTCGAGCAGGGCAGGGTTTTAAGCAGAAATAGTAGCTTCAAGCAAAACACTTTTCATGTAATAGACAGTCTCTTCAGTGACACCACATAGTGGCTAAACGTTCATGATTTCCACTCTTCGGAAAGTTTATTTGAAAGTTTCGTTTTTTTCAACTATTCTAGCTATGTTGTTGTTAAGTGCCGCTGAGTTGGTTCCCACTCATAGAGACCCTGTATAGGGTTTCCAAGGAGCAGCTGGTGAGTTTGAACCACTGACCTTGAGGTCTAAATCGACCTTGAGGTCAGTGTTTATACATTGTAGAAATTTTGAGATGTGTCAGAAGAGTAGAAATAGAAGTGGAGGTGGCAAGAGGGCAGCAAATCAGAAAATCGTCCAGAAATAGCTGCTGTTGGTGCATGTTTGCTTCCTTCTAGCCCCTCTTTCTTGTGGTCATCCTAGGGAGGGCAAAAGTTGGTGTGGATGATGCTGTGATTGGAAAAGTACCATGCAGACAGTGTCCCCCACTAAGGATTAAACACTAATTACATTTCTAAATATCTGCTTTCAGTTTTGTGCCATATGTGTGTATTTCAAAGCAAGCTAATAATAATAGAAACTTGTTGACTCTTTTTAAAATGTCTGTGGCACTGCAGGGTGAGTACTAGACTGCTAGCTGCATGGTCAGCAGTTCAAACCCAGCAGCAGCACCTTGGAAGCTCTGAGTCACTATGACTCAGAATCGTATGTAACAGCAATCCCCACCACGTGGTGTTTGTCTGCTTTTGACTGCTTTTCCAGTCCTCTTCCCACTGTGATCTGGACCCTGCATCGCCCTGAAGGATTAAAGTTTTGTATGTTTTGGTCCAGTTTTAATTTATCTAAATGATCATGCTGTAAACTCTATTCTTTAGCTTGCTGATTTTTATTTATCAAGTTGATAACATCGTGATCTTTGGCGGTTTAGAGTCCTAAACTGACAGTATATGGACTTTATCCATGTGTTTATTCAGCTTGGTTCTTGACTCTTATAAACAAAAGTTGCAATGAATGATTTTCACGAATCTCCTTGGAAACGTATGTATTAGTGTTTTGCTAGGATTGCAGGGAACTTTTTATCCTGCCTTTTCTTCTGTTAATATGAAGACATGAACATCTCCATTGGTTTAATTTAATCTCTTTAAACTGCATACTTCTTAAATCTGGACCTTGAACTGTCTTTTGTTTTCCATGATGAAAAATTAATATGAACTGGTAATTGTCCAAAGGGCTTTGCTCTTAGCATCAGAGTAGAATTGTGTGGATTCTCTGGATGTAGTAGATAAAGCATGAAGCTATTTTAGAAAACAGATTTAAGAGCAAAAATTAAAATCAAGAATAGGACTCAGCAGGGGAAGACTTGGGTTTTTCATATTCTTATTCCCATTTTCTAATTTAGGGAATTCCTTAGATCTTTGGGAATGACTTCTGTCCCAACTCATCCTGGAGACTCTGCGCCATGACCACAGCCTCTGCATCATTCCTGACTTTTCCTTCCCTTCCCCCATGTCTCCTCCCCAGCCCCGCAGCCTTCCCAACCCTTGGTACACATTCCAGTTATTTCTTCGTGTCATCTGTCCCACTGTGCACAGTGACCTCAGGAATAGCGGGCCCCATCTTATTGAATTTCTGTGCTTCAGCAAGCACAAGGCCAACATGTAGGTGTTGACCAGATAGGTTTTGAATGAATGAAAGAGAACTTGTACTGGAGAGTGGAGAGGATGAAGCGGAAGATGCCAAGGTTGGGATATATAGTGATGGTGATGATCATTTTAGGAGAGACTTCAGTTTATTGAAAAATATGGAATGGGATAAGGAAGTCCTAAAGGGAAGTGATGTGACACAGATGACAAAAGGGTAGTTTTGAGTGCAGATCTCCACTTTAGAATATAGTTTGTATATATACAAACTGATTTCAAGTCACTGATTTTACGCTAGGTAGAAAATACATCACTTTCTCTTGGAAATGTAAATATCAGTGTATTTGTTAAAAATCCTTGTTTTCTAGGAATTCAAAAAAAAAAAATTTAGATCCTTGACAGAAAACTTTTTTTTTTTTTTTTTTAATTCACTCTTTGACTCATTGATTTCTTGGCCCAATTTTCATCAAAACTCTGCTTCCTGGAATGAGTAGACTAGAGCTAAAGGAAAATACTTTGCTCAGTGTTCTTATGAAATCCTTTGTGGTTTGGAGGAGGTACTGCTTACTCCATGAGAGTTTTACCAGCTTCATTCATGTTCCACGCATGCTGCAATCGAGGAGCCGCCCACATTGAGAGACTGAACCCTAACCTTTGAGGGGGGAGTCGGGGTGTGCTCCCTTAAGCTCTGTCAGGGCACTTACTGCACCATTCAGTAATGTGAAGTCTCTTTTCTGAGCACATTTGTAACTCAAAAAACACAGCTTTTTATCATTATTTTTGTATAGGAAACTTAACTGCTCTCAACATTTGCTCCTTTGATTTTTAGAACTCTAGTGTGATTTTGAGTCACTAGAGCTGTCAGGAGAATATTGTTTTATCAAAAGATTTAGGGCCAGAACTAAGTGTTTATGAGTGTGGTGACCTTTTTCCAGTTCTGAAATTGTTTGTAGGGGCTAAATGCTTTTTGCTGCTAATTAACATCTCTTTTTACAGGATTCATGAATAAAATTTTCCATCCCAACATTGATGAAGCGTAAGTAACTATTTAAAAATGTTTCCATCACAGCAGCAGCTGCTCTCCATTATTAACAAACAAGTCAGAAACGCAAAAGGATCTTTGGGATTTGATTAGATGTAGGACAGTCTGAATGGTCACTTAAACCAGAGACCTAGGGGTATGATAGTCTAAACCCGTTCCAATCCTGCGGTTGTGGTACCAGCCAGCTCGCTTTTCTAATGTTCTGTAGCTCAAGTCTCTGCATAGACACAAGCAGAGAGCAGCTTTTGGTGTACACGCTCGTTTATGCCTTTATAAAATTTCTCAGTTCTTGAGAGTAAGACAACCATGAAGGACTATACCTTCATTTTAGTTCATGAGTCTTAATTATCTATTTCCTTCTGTTGTGTTATTAGTGATTAAAAATGTGGTAACCATGCATCCTATTTTGTACTTTGAGTACATTTTTCTACAGGATTTTACTGCCATGGCACTAATTTTGCTGGTATGACTCTGAGTCCCCTATGAGTGGGTTGTGTACATACATCACGCCCCTTGGTCCTTCAGAACTTAAAGGGATATTTCCTAACAATCAGGACGTTCTCATAGATAACTACAGTATACTTGTTAGATGCAAGAATTCCATATTCAATCAAAAGCAACACTTTTTATCTGAATCAACAGACATATTTCAGTCATGGTTTTTATAGCATTGATTCCCCCTTTCAATACAGTCTCCAGCCCAAGATCACATACTCCACTGACTGGTCATGGTTCTTTCAACCCTTCTTGGTCACTTAGGAAATTCACACCTTTTCGAAGAGTACAGACAGTTATTTTATAGAATGTCCCGCAATTTGGATTTGTGTGAAGTTTCCTTGTGGTTTAGATTCAGGGTGCTTTCATGGCCAAAAAGCCACAAAAGTGAGATTGAACCCTCTCAGAACACTGCATTCAGAGGTCTGTCCACCGTTTGTTGCCAAGGTTCATTTTAACCCCCTGGTTTAGGTGTTGTCTGTTTTCCCCCTTGTGTAGTTAGGATTTTTCCCTTTTAATCTTGGGAGACACTGAAGACCTTGTAAATGTTCTCCTCCTCATGCTCTCCTCCTACTGGACTGCTTTTCTCTTAATCTATTACAAATATTGTTCAATGTGTACTAGTCCTTGATAAATAAAATTAGTTGCCAGATATATGCAACTAACTTTCTAATTTTTTTAAAAATGCCATTCTCTCCATCTGTTTCAGGTCAGGAACTGTGTGTCTAGATGTAATTAATCAAACGTGGACAGCTCTCTATGGTGAGTTTGGCCGTGGACTATTTTGGGGAGATATTGAAAGAACACTGCCTTAAAAAATTGCTGCTTTGCTTCTCTGGTTTAAGACATTTTGTTGTTGGGAATGGGAAGGGATTTTGAGTGCCTGAACTGGAAATGTTGATATGTTAAAAAAAAAAAAAAAAAAAAGGATTTCCTCTTAAGTACAAACTTCAGTTTAGCAGTGCAAGTTTAAAATCATTTTGTGAGATTCTGAACTTAAGGTATACACATGCAAGCATATATGCAAACATTTGATGTATGTGTATATGCAGAAGCACATTTTATGCATTCTGTAAAATCTGGGATTGTCTCTCTGAAATGAGATGAATGTATTCATCTGTTTAAAGGCCAGCTGCTGTAAAGCTCGTTAAGGACATGAGACAGAAGTCTGTGAGGCCCAGCCCCCCACCCCCCATTATCTTTGACAGCCTCCCTGCCCTCACCCTCATGAAGCCTCCTGAAACCCCCACTAGAGTGTTCTCGGGACACCCCTCTATATTTTATGGCTGCCTTATGTAAGTTGTTCATATCCATAGTTTTTGTGCTACTAGATTCTTTCCTTCCTTAAGGACTGCTGGGGAACCTGTCAGATTTGCCTTTAAGCCCCGGAACTCCTGGCATAGTGCCTCTCACCCGTGTGAGTTGAGAGAAGGAGTTCAGGTCATAGTTGCTGAGAGACCCCAGGAGAGGAGGGAAAAATCACTTCTTGTTGTTGAAGGGTTGTCAGACCTTGTAATGGTTTACAGTAGGTAAGACTTCTTGTTCCAGACACAATGCAGCATCCTTGTGTTGGGAATGGTGGCTGACAGTTACTGGGGAGGTTGGTCACCAGCAGCACCTGGTTAATCTCGTTGGGGTGTTTTCTCTCCTGATACTACTGTGTAAGGATTATTTCCTCCACCTGGAATTACCTCCTTGATCTGTGTGCCCTGGCGCCTTCTTACCTCAAACATCACTTCCTCAGAGGAGCCTACATATTGTCACTAATGTGTCAACTAGCACCCTCTGCCTCTACTGCAGCACCCTATCTTAAATAAACTTTAAACTGGGTTTATTTTTCTTATCCTGCCTTACTAGATTGTAAGCTCCCTGAGAGTAAGAACAGTGTCTTGTTCCTTGTCCATGTAGAGCTACATAACATGTACCGGGCATGCATATGAGGGATTTCTAAAAGTTCATGGAATTAAAAGACCATGGGATTTCTTCACAAACTGTTTGAAGCCCCCTGGTACTTAGACACATGAGTATAGCTCTGTAATTCTCAGGGCCTAGAGCAGTATACAGTAAGGTATTGGTATATTTGTTGAATTTCATGCCCATTCCTGTTTAACATGGGATTTTAGGAAGATGATGTCTTGTAAGAAGATGACGCTGTACGAAAGATCATGTACTCTCTGGTTGATGGAGTGGATTTTTTTTCAGTGGTTTTGGTGAAAATGCTTCATGGCAGACTGCCTGGAATCTCTGATGTAATGATGTACTTTCTAAAACTACATCCACGTTTTAGAAATGTGTACATATCAAAATACTGCAGACTGGTTCCAATTACAATAAAGTAAATTGGACTTTTTAGTTTTACTAATTCCTTTACCATTGACCAGGAAAGATTTGTGAAAAGAGGGTTGCTAATTCTCAAGTGCCTTATGTCTCAGAGCAAATTTTTAAATTAAATAACAGCTTTATTGAGTTAAAATTCATATGCCATACAATTGACCCATTTAAAATGCCCAATTCGTGGTTTTTAGTATCTTCACAGATATGTACAACCATTATCAGAGTCAAATTTGGAACATTTTCATCACCTCACACAGAAACTCCACACCCTTCATCGTTTCCACTCCCTATTCCACCCCCACCCATCAGTAGGCCACCACTAAGCTACTTTTTTTTTGTTTGTTTTAAATCTGTGTGCCTAATGTATAAATTGAGTCATATAATATGTGGCATTTTATGACTGGCTTCTTTCACTGAACATAATGTTTCCAGGGTTCTTCCAGTCTGTAGCATGCATCACTACTTCATTTCTTTTTCATGCCCAATAACACTACATTATATGGATATACCTTTTCTTTGTCAGCTGTTGTACACACTATAATCACATTCAACTTTTTGAGTGGAAACTTGCCGTTGCTCTCGGGTATGTGCCTTAGAGGCGAATTGCTGGCATGTGAGGAACTGCTGTGCTAGACTTTTCCAGAGTATCTGCACCATTTCATATTACCACCAGCAGTGTGGAAGTACAGAACAGATGGTCTCTTCTTGTATTACCTGGCAAAGTATTTAATAAGTAACAATAATTCACCATCATTAGAGTGAGTGGAAAACATCTCACCATTACATACATTTGGGTACTCCTAAGTGTCCCATAGTGCTCGAGCCTGGAAACACTAGTGAAAAGAAAGTGGACTGACCATGGGACAGTTGTTTTGACATTTTGCTCAAGACTCTTCTGAAGGAACTTCAGCATTTCTTTCATGCAAGTTACTGTTGTTAGCTGCCATCAAGTCAGTCCAACTCAGCGATCTGTAGAGGGTTTCTAAGACTGTAAATCTTTACTGGAGTAGAAAGCCTCGTCATTCTCCCATGGAGTGACTAGTGGGTTTGAACTACTGACCATGTGGTGAGCAGTCCAGTGCTTAGCCTACAATGCCACCAGCACTCTTATGCAAGATATTGGAAGCATTATAAAAACATTCTATGTAAAAGCACTGGCAGATAGGGGTTGGCTCAGATGGCCCTATATCTATCTAGTCATGGGAGCTAAGCTGGGTTTCTACTGCAAAGTGCTAAAACTTCTGCCATTGAACATTGGTTAGTTTAATAGTTGGTGAATTCGATATCAGTCAATTTCATGAAAGAATCTTAAAAGAAAAAGTTATTTTAATACTAAGTAATGAATAGGAAAAAGTTGGCATGTTCACACAATATTCAACTGAAAAGCAAAATGTTTAGCCTGGTAATCAGGACTTGTTTCAACATCTCCGTTGTGTAAGATGGTAAGGAACAGGGAGTTTCTTGTGAAACTTCCTGCAATTAACTTTACCCCAAGGTGGGTTCCATACCCATACTCATACTATACTCCTGTTTTATAGGATAATAATGCCCAGTTGAGATTTACATTTACCAAGCCCTGTTCATTAAATAATGTTTATGTTAACAGCAAATATAGTCCTCTTTCTCCCTGTCTCCCACAAAAGAGGCAAATTGGGTTGACCTCTCCAGCTGTCGATGTACTCATTTCTTGGTTGATTTGGTGTATTACTTACTCTGTGGATTAAGGTGTAGACAAGTGAAATGGAAGGCTTTCTGGTAGTCCATTTGGCTCCATATTGCTTCTGTTTGGATCCTGTTTTCCTTTGCCAAGTGTAAATGCATGTTGTTGTTGTTGTTGTTTTTAATTCAGAAAAGCTCAAAATGGATATAATTGTAGCTTAATCACTCAGTAATTTTACATTTTAGATTATTTAGCTATGGAGGAGAGCTAATTATAGTGGGTAATGCGGTGAATTTCAGGAAGACACTTGCTGCCAGGATGTCATTGATTATGAAGTGATCTGCTGTCACTCTTGTGACATTCAAAGGAAGGTAGCAGATGCCATTGCAAAATGGGCTTTTTAAAAAAAATTTTTTAACTTACTGCATGACAGCATCTTTTTTTTTTTTTTTTTTTAACATCACTTCCTATTTTTCCAGATTGTTGTTGTTGTTAAGTGCTGTCGAGTTGGTACTAAATCATAACACCCCTGTGTAGGGTTTCTGAGATGCTCCTGGTGAGTTTGATCCGCAAACCTTGCATTCACAGTGGCCTCACGGTCCAGTGCTCATCCCTACTATAGCGCTGCAGCTGGCCTCCATTCTGTCTTTTCCAGATAGCAGTGACAAAAACTCTGGAAAACTAAAGGAGTAGCAGGCCTGCACCAGGAATCCTAGTTCAGGTAACTGGGGAGAAGGAGTTTCTGGAGTTTTCCCCTACAAAACAATCCATTTTAAATGCTGATAGAGGAGGTGGTGGTATGCCGGAGTCGGTTCCGACTCATAGCAACCCTGCAAAGGGTTTCTGAGGCTGTAAATTTTTACAGGAGCAGAAAGCCTCGTCTTTCTCCCTCAGAACCGCTGGTAGTTTCAAACTGCCGACAGTGAGATTAGCAGTCCGAATTGTAACTGCTATGCTACCGGAGCTCCTTGATTCATGAAGGTAGCCGCTTTAGGTTCCCTTTCTCTTTTCCAGTTTTCCCTTTTAGTCCAGAATATATTTTATGCCTACTTGACTCCTGGGCTCAGGCTCCTTCCCTGCATTGCCGCTTTCATCTCCCTCCTACCCTTGTGGGCCATGCGTACTTTGTTGTTGTTGTTAGGTGCCATTGAGTTGGTACTAACCCATAGCCACCTTATGCACAACAGAATGAAACACTGCCCGATCCTGGGCCAGCCTCACTATTGTTGCAATGCTTGAGTCCATTGATGCTGCCACTTGGCCAGTCCATCTCGTTGGGGGTCTTCCTCTTTTTTTCTGACCCTCCACCTTACCAAACATGATATCCTTCTCCAGCGACTGGTCCTTCCTGACAATATGTGCAAAGTATGAGAGACGAAGTCTGGCCATCGTACTTGGCCCCCTGCAAATTGGGTTGACCTCTCCAGCTGTCATTTTACTCATTTCTTGGTTGATTTGGTATATTACTTACTCTGTGGATTAAGGTGTAGACAAGTGAAATGGAAGACTTAATTTTCTTATCAAATTGGGCAGTTTGCAATTCTCACCCTTAGGACTGCTAGCTAATGGTCCGGATACCCTAATCGTATGTTGCTTGTGAGAAAAATCAACATTTGGAGACTCCATCTGTCATCTGTATGCTGAATAGATCATTTCGAGAAACGACTAGCTGAAGAAGTATGTGGCATAGGATTGGAGGAAAGCTCATTTAACAACCTGTGATATGCAGATGGCATAGTCTCTTGTTGAAAGTGAGGAGGACTTGAAA